GGACTAAACTATGTACATAATTAGTTTTTTGCCTTTTGTTTCATAATAAATTTTATTTATATAACCCTTTTGCTGTATTTTTAAAGTGTTACATAAACAGGACAGGTGAAATATTGTCATGTAAAGCAACCATAAACACATGAAAAGACCTAGGTTTACAATTTATGATTAAAACTCTACTATCTACACAATATACATAGACCTAAAATGTAAAAACTTAAATATCTTAAAAACAGTAGTCAATCGGTTGTTTTAATTGTCATATTTGAATTCAGCACATCAAAATACATAATAGCACATTTTATCTCTGAAGCAGACGACTTCTCAAAAATTGTAGACCAGTGTTATTTTCCATGGAGGAAGCTGGCACATGTTACTGAAAACAGAGGAACATCCCATGATGCAGTTCTTTCCGTCCCAGCATTCCATGGGCTTCCAACTGCATTTTGCTGCATTTTTCAACAGCCCGTTTACTGTGCGCCCGCCATTTCTGGTTGAAAGCACGTATCCCGCGCTGCTCTTTACTGCTGTGGTCACTGTTATGAACACCTCGGGATGGTCATGAGCTCCCAATTTGAACGGGAATCAGAGTTGCCTAACCTGCTGTGTGTCCTGGAAAGAAACAACACAAGATTACTTTGGACATTCATGGAGTAGCTGAACACGGTGAACTGTCACTTTTGGGCTCGGGAAACAAGCATTGAGTGATGGGATTGCATAATTATGCAAGTCTGGGATGACAAGCATTGGCTGCCAACTTTTGGATGCAGAAAGCCACTTTTCTGGAACTGTGCAGAGCTCGTCTCAGCACACCAAAATGAGAGCTGCCCTCTCGGTATAGAAATGAGTGGCAATTGCTGTATGGAAGCTGGTGACTCTGGACTGCTACCGCTTGGTCGCGAATCAGTTTGGAGTGGGGAAGTCCACCGTTGGGGCAGCGTTAATGCAAGTTTACAGGGTCATTAATTGCATCCTCCTATGAAGAACTGTGACTCTTGGAAATGTGCATGAAATATTGGATAGCTTTGTGGCAATGGTATCCTCTAACTGTGGAGGGGCAATAGATGGCACGCATATTCCAGTTTTGGCCTGGACCATCTTGCAATGGAGTACATCAGCAGAAAGGGGTACTTCTCTATGGTACTGCAGGCACTTGTGGATCACCCTGAGCACAGTGGGTTTCACTGACATCAACACGGGGTGGTCCAGGAAGATGTATAATACACGCATCTTCAGGAACACTGGTCTATACAGAAAGCTGCAAGCAAGGACTTTCTTTCCAGACCAGAAGATTCAAGTGGGGGATGTTGAGATGCCCATAGTTATCCTGGGAGACCCAGTGTACTCCTTACTCCCGTAGCTCATGAAACTTTACACAGGACACCTGGACAGTAACAAGGAGTGCTTCAACAATAGGCTGAACAGGTGCAGAGTCCTAGGCGCTGACTCCGTGAGTGCTCCGGGACTGGAGCACCCATGGGGAAAAATTAGCGAGTGCACCTACCGGCAGCTAAGCTCTCCCCACCTCCTCCTCCCCTGAGTGCGCTGTGTCCCCACTCCTCCCCCTTCCGCCCAGCACTTCTCACCGCCCCACCACTTAACAGCTGTTTGGCAGCACTTTGGACTTTCCGGGAGGGAGGAGGAGGAGCGGGGACGTGGCACATCAGGGGAAGAGGTGGAGAAGAGGTGAGGACTTTGGGGAAGGGGTGGAATGGGGGCGAGGTGAGGGTGGTGCAGGGGCGGGGTCAGAGTGTGAGGGGGGGTCGAGCATCCCCCGGGCAAAGAGGAAGTCAGTGCCTATGTGCAGTGTGACCATAGAATGTGCCTTTGGCAGATTAAAAATGATTGGCACTGCCTTTATGGCAGGTTAGACCTAAATGAGGAAAATGTTCCCATGGTCATAGCAGCCTGCTGCACACTTCGTAATATATGTGAGTCTATGGGTAAAAAGTTTCCTTCCGGCAGAGGCCAATCAGCTGGCTGCAGAATTTGAGCAGCCAGATACAAGGGCTATTCTAGCCCCCTGTTCCCCTCTTCGAATCAGGGAGGCTTTGAGGCAACATTTTGACAATGAGCATCAGTAATGTGTCTTTCTCATGGTGCATTATCTTGCCGCCTTGCATTAAAGTTGTGATGATTCCTGACCAGGATTTGTAGTGATCAAATGATCAAATTGCCACTGTGTATTTCTACCAGCCGCAACCACCACATGTGGGACAGTTTGCTTTATTAAATAACAATTAACAAAAGGATTGGTGGGAAGGGAGATAAGAGTGCAGAGCAGTGTATGCTTTCATATCTGTGTGTAACTCCAACTATCATTTTGGAAGCTGTCTGAAGGAGGTGGAGTGAATGAGGTACCGAGACATTCTGGGAAGTTGCAAGGAATGTGTGGGAGGAGTTTGGGGGGGGAGCATGGAAAGCAGTTCTGTATTGGCTGCGGGCAGGGGGGCAAGCATGCATCTGTTCTGCCTGGAGCATGATTAGGGACTTCAACATCTCTGTTTGCTCCTCCATCAGTTTTGTCATCTGCTCCTGGCCCTTTACAATTTGCTCCCTGCTCTCCTTTCTATCCTGCCTTCCTATTTTAAATTTTTCCTTCAGGGTCTCTCTCCACTCCCTGCGTTCTCTTTTTTTTGAAATCTGAGGATTGAAGCACCTCCTGGAACATGTCCTCCTTGGTGCACTGTGGTCGCTTCCTTTTCCAGCAGAGGTGCACTACCAGTGTGTAGGGAGATCCCTGGAAGGCCCCATCTGCAAAAGCACAAGAAACAATACACAGAAGCATGATTGTTAGTTCATGCACAACACTGAATCATTATAGTAAAATATACCTCTTTTCACATATGAATCACTTTCTCGCTGTCCCTTGGCAAGCACACATCTCAGTGAACACTCTAAACATGGTGAGTTTGGCCCAGGGAGGGAGGGCGGTGTTGGATGTTGAAGATGAGGCAAAGGGTCTAGGTTTTTTTTAAGGGAATAAGTGTAGGAGAGTATGGACAATATTGCAAATTCTGCCCCCATTTTCCACAACCAGGGATCATTGATGCCGATATCTCACTCCTGAGGGTATGCAAAGGTGCATCTCCTGCATGCTTGCAGGTTCCCACCCGGTTCCTATGCTGCTCGCCCATGTGCCGCTTTGGTCCCTGCTCAAGGAATTGCCGATTGGTGCAGGAAAATTTCCTACAATGTGGAAATCCCTTCACCCACTTTTAGAATATTCAGAGCAAAGGGCAGCTCTGCCTCATATAACTGAGCAGCATCAACTCAGAAAGATCACTTACCACTTACCTCTACTGCATCATGCGCGCCAGAGACTGGCTGCTGGGACTGGCTAGACCCCTCAGGAGTGGAAAAGAGGTCCTGACTCGCCACACCACTGGACGACCCTGGCGTGTGCTCCACGTCATCCTCAATCTTGACCTTCTTGTCCATAACTTTGTCCACAGGGTTGAATCCCCTGTCCGCTGCCTCCAGCCTCACTGAAGTATCCATTGGGCTGTTGGCAGTGGAGGTGGGGTCAGCGCCGAGAATGGCATCCATTTCCTTATAGAAACAGCAGGACTGCGGTGCAGCACCAGAGTGACAATTTGCCTCTCTTGCCTTCTGGATGCCTGCCTCATCTCCTTTATCTTCGCTCAGCAATGCTGCATGTCCTGTTTGTAGCCCTTTTCCAACAAGCCACAAGAAATCTGCCCATAGGTATCGAAGTTCCTATGACTGGAGTGGAGCTTGGACTGCACAGCCTCTTCTCCCCACACTGCCAGCAAATCCAACAACTCAGGTGTGGTCCAAGCAGGAGAGCGTTTGCTTTGTGGCGCCGCCATGGTCAGCTGTCCACGCCGAGCAAACAGGAAGTGGAATTTCAAAAATTCCTGGGCCTATAGGGGCGGATGTTTGTGTATCTGGGTGCAAGGCAGCAGAGTTTGAACTGCTGACCAGAGCCATCAGAATGGGCATTGTGGGATACCTCATGAAGACCAATTATAGTGACATAACCAACCGCGGTGTCTACACTGACTATATAACTTTGCCCCAAAAAGCTCTCTCGCATCGAGGTGGTTTTATTTTGTTCGCAAAGCAAGAGTGTTTTGTCGGCAGAAGGAGCATTGCAGTGTGCACACTTCCACTATTTTGTCTACAAAAGGCAGCTTAATAATCATTTCATGTGTTTACCTATTTATTTTTAAATTGTGAATGAACTTAGTGCCCAGAAAAGTAGGGGGCTAATAGTACTGATATGACTGAATGTGGTATAGTATGGCAAAGTGCTGTTGTAACAGGGATCAGTGAATAAATGTTTCCTGTAGGTTTCCATACAGTAACTGTGTATGTGGTTCCAGATTAGATTTTACTAATTTTTCAATACATTAGGTTTTATAAATATTTTTTTCCTCATGGCATCGCTACAGGGCTCAGTAAAAGCATCCAAACAACATTAACTCAGCAGCTTCATGCCTGAACATGTTTGGGTTTATTTTATGTTTAACTTTATATCTGAATTTCTTGGGTTTGTTATGCCTATTTCTTGTATCATTAATATTTTTTTTGTAAGTTACATATTTACTGATATGTACTCTCAACGTTAACTCTAGCTTAATATAGTATTTCATGAGGAAATATAAATACAAATAACTGAGAAATCATTATTTGCATTTTAAGTCTCTGAAATCAAAATGATGCCACTATCTGACAGAATGCACTTTAACAATATGCCTTGAAATTGTTCCGCAGTCTGACTGTGAGTTGCTATTGTCACCATATAGAATTATTAACATATCCTGTTGTCAAATTTCAGTTCTAATCTATGAACCAGAAAATACTGAGGCCAAGCAGTTTCTTCCACTTCTTGAAGAAAAGTTGCTGATAGGTAAGTTTGAGAACAGTAACCATTTTATGTTCTAGAAGCCTTCATGCTTTTCACAAGTGAACAATATTTGGGACTGCTGTAACTACATGGATCCTATTTTATTTTTAAAAACTATAGGGTGAGAAATATTTTTATCACTTTTGTGTTTAATGTGTCTTAAGTGTGATACATTAGGCCAGTGGTTCTCAAACAGGGATCCAGGGCCCTCTGGGGAGGCTGCAAGCAGTTTTCAGGGGGTCTGTCAAGCATGGCTGATGCTAGACTTACTAGGGCCCAGGGCAGAAAGCTGAAGCCCCATTGCATGGGGCTGAAACCCGGGACCCCGAGCCCCACCATCCAGGACTGAAGCCAAAGCCTAAACAACTTAGCTTTGTGGGTCCCCCTGTGGCATGGGGCCCTGGGCAATTGCCCTGCTTACTACCCACTAACGTGTGCCCTGGCTTTTATATGCAGAAAAACAGTTGTTATGGCACAGGTGAGCTGTGGAGTTTTTATAGCATGTTGCGGGGGGCAGGCCTCAGAAATGAAAAGGTTGAGAACCCCTGCATTAGGCTATAAAATCACATTAAGCAAACATTTCCTAATCTCAATGTTCAATTCCAAGCACTGATCCTGACTTTCAGTATATTAAGCTATCCTTACTGTAGACATCTGAGTTGACTTAAACAGAGAGTCATGTCTGGGAATCACACTTGCTCAGAAAATGCATACTAGACTGAAAAATGGTAACCCCATTGTACAAAATCCTCTGCCGAGGCATAGGAGAATACAGAAGAAGTTGGAGGAAAGGAGTTGCAGAGATGGCATTAACCTGTCATTGTCCTACCCCAGTGCTAGTTCAGCTGTGCCAGCCCCCCAACTTTAGTCTGAGTGGCCTGAAGGCAACTCTAACTCAGACCAGATGCTAGTGCTCCCCAGGCGCTAATACAACAGCCTAAGGTTGTCTGGGGTGTCCTTTAAAACCCAGATGATCTCAGGCTGTTGTTGTGACCTACTGTTCCCCATATACCCACATATTCACCACCGTTATATGATTGTGATATGTTTTGTACAACGTATGCCTTGTGAGGTAACATTTGAAAAGTCTTGATTTGATGAACCTCATTATCCTGTTGAAATGTATGTGTCATCAATGTATATGAAGTTATTACATTTTGCTCTGTTTGTTACTGAAACATGTTGAGTCTGGAAAACTCAGAGAGGACAAAGAAATGGAAAACAGAGGCCTTACATGCGGTCTTTCTCTGCTTCCACAATGCAATCTTCACATAGACAAAAGGTGCAAGCAATTCATAATGAAGGATGGTCAGCAGCTCATGTACACCACGAGTGCTGCCTAGTCCCATGACACAGGAAGGATTTTTCCAGTATCTGGAGAAAAGTATAAATCAGGGACAGTGATGTCACCAGAGGGCCTGCCTCTTACCCCCATTGCTATACAAGGAAAACAAAGAGATCTCCATTTACACTTTGGAAGGAGCTGGACCTAACTGGAAGGTGTTCCAGTTAGCATGAACTGCTGTGAAGTTTTGGATGAGATAAATCATCTTGATTTTAGATTTATTAGCCTGGTAAAGTTTAAGATTTAGATTGTGGTTTTGCTATTTCATTTTGTAACCAATTCTAATCTTCTGTGCCAATTCTGCTTAATCACATAAAATCTATCTTTGTCTAGTTAATAAACTTATTTTGATGTTTATCTGAACCAGTGAATTTGTCTGAAGTGCTTGGGGGATCTGCTCAGATTAGAGGCTGGGACATGTCCACTACCCTTTGAAGGAGCAGCAAACTTTGATCAAGAAGGTCTTGAGCACTGTAAGATGCACATTTCTGGGGTGCCAGGCTGGGGGAATTTGCTTCTGTTTCCCTATATACAGTTCATGACTGGCTTGTGAGAGCCTTCATGCAACTTTGCAGGGTGTGCCTATGCATGCTGATGGCTGAGTGAACAGAGCTGGAGGGAAAAAGAACAGGAGTACTTGTGGCACCTTAGAGACTAACAAATTTATTAGAGCATAAGCTTTCGTGGAGGGTTTGCTGTTCACTAGCATAGCAGTGTAGGAGACAGCCTGGGCAGGAGAGTTAAGGGGGCCTAGGAGTTCCACTGTCTGGATTGCACCTCGGGGCATGTCACAGTTGTATTAGCCTCTTGGGACCAATGGCATCTGGTGTGAGTTACAGTTGCCTTCAGGCCACTCGGACTAATATTGGGGGGCTGGCACAAACACTCTTTTCCCCTGCTATAACTGCTGTGCGGGCTGCAGGGAAAGAGAGTGGCATAGGAGTTGCTATACTGGCTCTACTCCTCTCAGGATCCCGCTATATTGGAGTGATCCTGTGGTGGCCAGCTACTTTGTGCCAATACTATAGAATCATAGGACTGGAAGGGACCTTGAGAGGTCATCTAGTCCAGTCCCCTGCACATATGCAGGACTAAGTATTACCTAGACCATTCCTGACAGGTGTTTCTCTAACCTGCTTTTAAAAATCTCCAGTGATGAAGATTCCACAATCTCCCTAGGCAATTTATTCCAGTGCTTAACCTCCCTGACAGGAAGTTTTTCCTAATGTCCAACCTAAACCTCCCTTGCTGCAATTTAAACCCATTGCTTCTTGTCCTATCCTCAGAGGTTAAGAAAAACAACTTTTCTCCTTCCTCCTTGTAACAACCTTTTACATACTTGAAAACTGTTATATACCCTCTGTCGTCTCTTTTCCAGACTAAACAAACCCAATTTTTAAAATCTTTCCTCATATGTCATGTTTTCTAGACCTTTAACCATTTTTGTCGCTCTTCTCTGGACTCTCTCCAATTTTGTCCACATCCTTCCTGAAATGTGGCACCCAGAACTTGACACAATACTCCAGTTGAGGTCTAATCAGTGTGGAGTAGAGCAGAAGAATTACTTTGCGTGTCTTGCTTAGAATACTCCTGCTAATACATCCCAGAATTATGTTTGCTTTTTTTGCAACAGCATTACCCTGTTGACTTGTATTTAGATTGTGGTCCCTTATGACCCCCAGATCCCTTTCCGCAGTACTCCTTCCAAGGCAGTCATTTCCCATTTTGTATGTGTGCAACTGATTGTTCCTTCCTAAGTGGAGTACTTTGCATTTGTCCTTATTGAATTTCATCCTATTTACTTCAGACCATTTCTCCAGTTTGTCCAGATCATTTTGAATTTTAATCCTATCCTCCAAAGCATTTGCAACCCCTCCCAGCTTTGTATCAGCCGCAAACTTTGTAAGTGTACTCTCTATGCCATTATCTAAAGCACTGATGAAGACATTGAACAGAATCAGACCCAGAACTGATCCCTGCGGGACCCCATTCCTTATGCCCTTCCAGCATGACTGTGAACCACTGATGATTACTCTCTGGGAATGATTTTCTAACCAGTTTTGCACCCACCTTATAGTAGCTCCATCTAGGTTGCATTTCCCTAGTTTGTTTATGAGACGGTCAAGCGAGACAGTGTCAAAAGCTTTAGTAAAGTCAAGATACACCACATCTACCGTTTTCCCCCCATCCACAAGGCTTGTTGCCTGTCAAAGAAAGCTATCAGGTTGGTTTGACACTATTTGATCTTGACAAATCCATGCTGACTTACTTATCACCTTATTATCTTCTAAACGTTTGCAAATTGATTGCTTTAATTATTTGCTTCATTATCATTCCGGGTACAGAAGTTAAGCTGACTGGTCTGTAACTCCCTGGGTTGTCCTTATTTCCCTTTTTACAGATTGGCACTATATTTGCCCTTTTCCAGTCTTCTGGAATCTCTCCCATTTTCTATATTGAGAGCAAAGTGATCACAGCACAGAGATCTGGGCCAGCTTCACAACGTTAGCCCTGTAGCTTATTATCTCAAAATGGATAATTGCCTTAAGTCAGTGTTTAATTTAAGTATGTTATTGTATTATGAGAGTATTTCTATTTTAAAAATACTCTTCTGTGGCTAAGAACCTAAAATATTAATAGCAAGTATTCATTTTTTTCTTTACTTTTAAATTTGGTTTTGAAATGGGAAATTTCAGTCAAGTTCCATGTTCCCATAGTAGTACAGGTTGGAGACTCTTGTTTTCCTTGCAGACGAGATCAATTTCAGCAGTATCATTTTTATGATTTAACATGCTCTTGCTATTCCAAACTGGCTATCCATCCTGTAAAAACAAATATGAGTAGTTTTATTCACATGAGAAGTCCCGTTCACCTTCATGTTGTTGAAAAGCTGTGCATATTTTATAAAATAAATATTTTGGAAAAGTCTGTAAAATGGGTGTTGACTATATAGGTATTTTTGGTGTAACTGACAAAAATAGTCCTTCTATCTCTATAAGACAATTGCTGAAAGTTTCCAAAACCTGCATACCTTAAATAAGATACATATTTGGAATATTTATGAATATATGGACTGTTTACTAAATTCTCAGGAAAAACACACAACCACTGCATAATTTTCTTCCTGTAATAGAAAGGGGAAAATGTTTGTTTAGATATTTCTTTGAAAATTAGACAGCACTAGCAAGCAAAACAATTGTATTAATCCCCCACTGTACAAAGCAAAATGCAATGATGATTTAGAATACAATTATTTTCTTCAGAAAAATACCCCAAAACACCATGTACAACCGATTTATTTTGAATATGTAATTTTGAGTTTATTTGGAATATAATATCAAATATTATGTATTTATCACATGCCTGAAATAGTCAGTTTTTTACTAACCAAAACTTAAGACTTACCTAAAACGTATATCTTGTACATGTATGTCTTAGAAAGTACACAGAATTTTGATGATGAAGAGGGTGAAGAAACGGATGAAGGAAGCAGTGAGGACAGTGAAGAGGATACTAGCAGTTCAGATAGCAGTGATGATGAAGGAGAAGAAAGTTCTGGTGATTCTGATGAAAACGTATAGCAGTTTGGTAATTCTTCTATACTCCCTATAGGTTGATTATTTTGATTCTTCTGTACAGTCACTTTTTAAACACCATATTAAAATTCACTGTTTAATCATTATCACTTTTCTCCCTCTTAAACTGCTGCATTCTTTTGCATATAGATTGCCTCCCCACTCACACACAGCCCACCATACCAGTGGTTCTCAACCAAGGGTACATGTACCCCCGGGAGTACACAGAGGTCTTCCAGGGGGTACATCAACTCATCTAGATACTTAACTAGTTTTACAACAGGCTACATAAAAAGCACTAGCAAAGTCAGTACAAAGTAAAATTTCATAAAGACAAAATGAGAGAGCAAGCAATTTTGCAGTAATAGTGTGCTGTGACACTTTTGTATTTTTATGTGATTATGTAAGCAAATAGTTTTTTAAGTGAGGTGAAACTTGGGGGTAAGCAAGACAAATCCGACTCCTGAAAGGGGTACAGTAGTCTGGAAAGGTTGAGAGCCACTTCACCAGCCTAGTCTTGTTCCATAGCATATTTGATGATATAGACAGAATTGATCTCCTTAGACGTAACTCCTAAAAAATGTTCCTGTTGGAGCAATCAGGTAGATGAAAAGCTAGGCTGCTTGTCATCAGTTGAGCAAAGACATGAATTTTTATTGAGGAATTTTGTGCTTTCAAAATTCATTGACAGCAGTTCAGCAGGGCAATAAAATCTTCCTAAATGATTGTGCAGAGCAAATGATTTCACACAATGCTGGTAAGATTCTGAATTGGGGTAAAAAGCCTCTTTAAATTTTAAAGATAAATATACAGCTTCTTGGAAGAAATCAAACAAACAGGTTTTCAAACAAATATTTTGTGTTACAAAATGTTGTCATTAAACCATATCTTTGGAAATACCTGCTAAAATTCTGTTCATGCACCCTGTCTTCTCCCACCTCACTCCCCCACAATTTAACTTAGATAATTACAGTAGCCCTGACATAAGGGGGTACAACTTCAGTGGAAGTTTCTTGGCCAGATTTGGAGACAAAACTTACATTGCTGTTTAAGATTTGTCAGGTATAAAGTTAATCAGAAAATATATGTAAGTAATAAAGAAGAGTAAATTGTACCAATTTGGCATTCAGCGGGTGTGCAAAGTGAGGATAACAAACACATTCAGGTGGCATGAAATGCAGCAGAAAAAGCAGTAGACAGCATGATGTGAAAAAATGCATTCAAGACTTGGATTGAACACTTATGTTTTCTGTAGTCTAACCATGAAAAACATTCATATTTTTTAATACAGCATTCTTGTGTGCAGAAGACATGTCACAGTAAACATGTAACCATCTTGTGTTTCATGCACCAGTACACTTAAGTATAGTGTTGCTTTTTCGCTCCTAACATTTCAGGACCCCTTGTTAATGTCAGTAGCTATATGACCCCATGGTTCTTGTTGTAGCGCCTAATTGTTACTTTTTCTTCAGTGTAACAAATGTGTTGATTAATGAAGTTATTAAATGTAACAGAATAAATGTTTTGCTTGTTTATTTTGGTACACTTGTTCAAATCATTATGGGAGCATCACCTCTTATAAGTAAAGTCTGATAAGTGAGAGAAATCAATTGGGTAAGACATTTTACCTGTGCGTGTAGGTAAGTATGCATGCATAATATCTGTTACTGTCGGTGTTGTCTTATTTATGAGCTTTTTTTATTTCTTTGGTAAGTTTATTTTTCTTAAGCTTTCATTATGAAAATATGTTTTGGCAAATAAGATGTAGAAGATACTTGTCAAATATTTGTAGATATTTGTATGCCCCTTTGTTGTTTTGTATTGATTTGAAAGCACAAAGGATATGTAACCCAAATTTAAATGAACCTGGGAGGATTTTCTCTGCATAGGAAAATCTTCCCATGGCATAGGGATAGCTTAGCAGCTCCTACAGCACTCCCATCGTGGCTTTTGGTGCAGATAGTACCAAGGGGAGAGGGAGCATTGCCAGGGTGCCCCTACACCTCCTGGAGTCTGTTTGTAGCTGGCCTAAGATAGCAGCCTTCAGACTCTGGACAGAACTGGTGCCCACTGGTCCCAGGCCTGGGAAGTCACTAAGGATGCTTAAAGACATGTTTGTCCCCATACCTGGACTTATGCCAACCACATATCAGCTGTTCAGCAAAGCATAGGGTGTAGCCTGTAAGTGGGGTTTTACTCTGAAAAATGACTTTAAAAATGGCACTTTCTTACCCAGGAGATCTGCTTGCTATGTGTTGAGAATTAGATTCATTAACTTCAGTGGTTGAAATAACTATGTATTCCTGTTAGTTCTGCAGAACTAATGCGGCAAAGAGAAAGGGAGTGGAATTCTATTCTTTGTATATCAACAGAATTGTTTACTAAGCTCTACCGATGGAGAGCAAAGTTTTGTCCTGCAGAATTTTATTTTATTTCTTTTTATTGGTGCTGATACAAAAGAAGAGAATTCTGCTTGTTTCTCAGAATCCAGGCTGAGTTTGCAGGGCTGACAGAGCAGATTTTTATTTGGAAACTTTTGGTATTTAGACTGCATTGAGCACACTTGTGATAAGGAATTTATTGAGAGGCAATAAATGTGGAACCCCACAATGCCATTTTTACAGTCATGTTTCAGAGAAGAACCAAATTTCAAAGTGGTGAGCAATTAATATTACAAAGATCTCTTGGATTGTCTACCATGACTAGTCATCTTTACCTAAGGCTGTGATAGAACTAGCTACAAATTTTCATGTTACTTTTATTTATCAAAGCCTTGTAGAAAATGGCTTAGATCCAGCCCAGGGCAATAGTGATTGCAAATTATCACACTCTTTCTTGGCCTTTGTGAAATTAAGTAGTGGTGTCAGTTATTCCTTGTGGACAGGATAAGGTTGTCCATATCACAAAAACTCATGTGTCCCTACTTCACACTCGTTTTGGACCACTCAAAAGGAGGTAAAAGACTGAATGGGCATTAAGTCTGAACTACCCTCTCTTCTCTAGAAGTTTTTCCCTAATTTAGGCTTGGAGCATATTGATGGGGTAATGTGAGGAAGTTTGCACTACAACTGCTCAGTTCACCACCTCTCATTATCATTCAGTTGCATATATTATTTAATAACCATAAAAAGGAAGAGAAGGATGCCTCTGTACACACCCCAGCAAGGATGAAATAGGTACTTAAGGTTTTGAGTTTTGATATTGTTTCCCCTTAAGAACATGCTTGTATGGCCTGATGGTATAGCAAAGAATATTTCAAGAAGAGGAAATCTGCTCATTTCTTAATGCTGAGGTAGGGCAACAGAGGTAGGGCAGAAGGGCCAGATGCAGCATGAGAAGTCCTAAAATATGGCCTGTAGCTGCTCTCTTCTGGAGGGCAAGGGCAAAGTCAATTAATTGTACATTTTTATAGAACTCTGAAGTATAGAAGCAGGGTCGGGAAGCCAGGTACACCAACCACTAGGCCATCTGGCCCTCCAAGCACCTCATGTTTTATGGAGATTAAATCTAATTTTGCAAGGGGGGGTTCTCTAAAATATGAAGACATTCTTTCTTATGGTGTCAGCGTGCCAAGTGTTGGAGATGAGTGGGCTGGATTTAATCTCCTTTACAAGCGTTCAATGAGAATAAAGTGATTCCTTCTACCATTTCCACCATTGTCCTTAAATGTCCCAGTTTCGATCAAGAGATTGTTTTCTTTCCTGGGTGTTTCTTATTCTAATGCATCTAACATGCTTTCGTAGCTTAGATGTCAGTGTATCATAAAAACTTCACATAAACAGAATGCAGTAGTTTTGGGTGAGTGAGGGTCTGTTCAGCTATTTCGAAAGACCAAAGCAGGGCCCAAGAGTGAATTGCACAAATAGATCTGAATGTGTCTCAATTATGCCTGTAATGCTTAGGGTCAGACTTGCTCACTGGGAGCCTTGGGCATTCAGCGAGAATCACCTCTGTCTCTTAGCCTGAGAGAAGTAATGATGCCCTAAATCTGCATTATAAAGCTGTGGCATTGTCTTCCACACTAAGCACTGTAAGGTACACATATTTTAATAGGTTTGTGTTAATGGGATTCAGCAAGTATTCTTGAAGCAGCTTGGCTTTGGGCTTTGATAGAGTGAAATAACCTTACACACAGTTCTCCAGTTTCCCAACTGCACTAACAGTTCTGTAATTTCTTACTATGCTTTCTCACATGAGGTCTCTCAGGTCTTGAAAAAGTGTAAGCATCAGATGTGTTAATGAATAAGAAGCAATGACAACTTTTCTATTTCAAATGACAATGGATCATAAGTTAAGACCAGGAAACTTGCCAGCACCCAATGGTTAAGAAGCCATTTATGAGCCCTAACTGTTCCCCCAAATAAAGGGAGTTGAAACAATTTTGGTTAACAACATCCACTCCTGTTATTCACCTATTGCTTGCATGAGATAAACATGTGAATATGTGGACATTACAAAGAAACAGTCCCCTGGAAAGGAGGGCCTGAAGAATAGACCAAGGGTCAGACTGACCACACTTGGACAATGCAGCTGGGGTGCGAAACCTGTAATCCCCGGATTTGCTCAGAGGTTCTCAGGGGGCATGCCCTGTGAGATGTTACCAACTTTAATCTCAACCTTAAAAGATCAGGAAAATGAGGAAGAAGTGTGCTCCTCCTGAGGTCACCACAGACCCTGAACCCAGGTCCAGAGAGGTCATCAAACTCCAATCCTCCATTCATCAGCTCACAGACAGCAGCTGGGACTGCAGCCCATAAAGTCCAAATGGGACATAAGATCTGCCCCATGCTCTGATTGGGAGAGCTCCAAGACTCCTGATTGGGCTGCAGACCATAGTGAAGCCAGAAGAGGTGGCAGGAAGTTGTCTGAACAGCTGGTCTTCACCCTCCCTGGTGTTTTCCTGTTCCTGACCTTCTGGTATCCTATCTAAGCCTTACTCTTGGTAACTGCCTCCTGGTTCCTGCTATCTTGTGTGATCCTGACCTCCTGCTAATCTGACTCAGCCTGCCTCTTCACACCTGTCTCATGGTTCTCTGATCCTCTGGCTTGTCACTAGTCTCTGATCTCCTGTAGTTCTGACCCAGTCTGGTTCATGGTAACTGGCTCCTGGATCCTCGGCCTATTCCTGCTGTGACTCCTAGGCCAGGCTGTCCATGCCCTGGCCCTAACACAATTGGATGTCCAATGCTTCTATTTCCCTTGGGCTGGTCCCAAGGAAAGTGGAGAGAAAAAACAGCTGGTTGACAGTACCAGCTAGTGTGATAGTACCTGAGCCAGAAGACGTTGCCTGATTTACCAAACTGCAGTTCCTGACTGACTCTAAAACTCCACGAATCCAGCAAGTCAAACAGGTCTTTTTTCTTTTCCTAAGTAATTCTCTTCTTTTTCTTTCTTTAACAGAATAGCTGGGCAGGACTACCTCCCAGGAAAAACTTGTCCTAGCCTGTTAGAGAGGGGTTGGGGGTGACCAATAATAACATGCATATAGGCACATAGTATAAATTAATGTTGGTGCAGAGGAAATTTTACCCCACATCACTAAAAATCATCTTAGGTTGATAAGGTAAAAATGTAATTAAAGGGGCTTTAATTAAACAATCATTTGATTTAAGCCCTAACAATCCTATTCTTACTATGGATTTGGTGAGTCAGTCAGGAGCTTGTGTCAGTCATTTGGAGAGAAATCCTTAGAAGGTATGATAGAGGTGTTTTTGAACAGTGTACCTATACATAAGATAGGTTTGTAAAGAGTTAACAAGCTGAAAGTTGCTCAGTAAGAGAAGAGAGGAAGTTCCTTTCCAATCACCTGTATTCCTAAATTGACACTGTGAGGAATTGAAGTTTCCTGTTTGAAAGAGGAGAGAGGGTGTGGTCTGGCACACTGGTCAAACAAACCAGACAAAAGTCAGAGGATTTCCTAGGAGTTCTGATAAAGCTGTGAGGTAAGCTTCACACATTGTGATTTGCCTTCACCTGCAAGAAATCTGTTAGAGACGCTGAACTTTGTCTCCCTCAACTCAGAGGAAGAACTGTTACCCAAAGCAGCCATGGAAAAGACAGCTAGCCACCTCACCCAGAAGAATCAAATGGTGAGTGTTAAGCATCTTTCAGCTGTCCTTCCACCTAGTGTCCCCACCCGTATTCAACACCACAATGTGATAGCGTGTGAATTAATTCCGGCCCATAAACATGTCAGCCAGCTCATTAGAAACATGAAGCTAAGTCTCTTCCTTATAGACTGTTTGGCCAGAGAGGTCAAACTCCATCTCTCTCTCTCTATGAAAATGGGAAAGACAAGATTTTGATCAGTTGCAGGAGACCCTCAGCTGGATCATCAAAGGCACAGTGGCAGGCTCTATATTGCAGGAAGATGCCTTCTCATATTCCCTATGGGTGCACCCTATTGAGTAGAAAGTTGATGGAGAACTGGTCAAAGAAAGCAAGACTTTAGACAACCTAGGGATAGAAATAGATAAAGCAACTCAGGCTTTCAGAGGGATGAACAATAGGTTGAATTAAA